TCCTGCTGGGTAGAGCAGCCTCACACCTCCTTCATATAATACCTGTGTTTCTGATTACACTTGTACATAGAAAATAGCATTAGCAGATGTATAAGTTAATGTCACAAAGTCCTAAATGGTGTCTTGACCTATGTCCTGTGTATAGACAGGACTGTTGAAAAATATTTAAGATTTAAAAACTTGAAATGGCTCTTGAGCAAACTTTGATTTCTACTGCATAAATGAATTCTAGACACTGTGATATAATGTCTTAGGAAAGGTGAACTTGGTTTTCAGAATGGCAGCAAACAAAAAAATTAACTGCAGATTTAAGGATTTTGTTGCTACTTTTACCATTGAAGAAAAATTTGATCGTTTATATGTGGAAAAACAGGTGTAATGTGTGTAGTTAGGGAGGGGAGTACATGTTTCAGATTAGTTTGACTGGTGACAACTTTATTTTAGTTCTGTCATTTTTTTTGCAATTTATGACAAAAATCATTTTCCTCCTACTAACAAAATATTTAGTTTGTCTCGACCTGAACTGAACTGTTTCAAACGTGACTTGACAGTAATTTTAAGTAAAATCTACATTTTGGCCTATTGTACTTTTTAGTAGCTTCTTTCCAATGCAAATAACAATAGTATGAGCGGGTTATACACGTACAACTTGGTATCGACTTTACTTGATCATATGATGAACTTTTCTCACACTATATTTCCTGGTTATCTTTTCTATATTTGAAATACTACACTGTAGTCATTTCAGTATTGAAATAAAAAGTTAATGACACTGTATGAGGTTTGAATACATCACATTAAATTCTACAAAGGCTAATGAGGAGACCAAAACACAAACTGACTGATAAAGCCAAATTGAAAGATAATGTTTTCCTTGCACTTTAGTTTGTGTTTAATAAGTCATGGTTCGAGATGCGAGGTCAGTTTTATTGTCATGTCCTGTTATATATCACATTACATGTCAGTGTAGTTTGACACTAAAATATGCAAAGACAGTTACATTTTATGTGTAAATTTTAACATAAGTGTCTCTTAGGAATTCTGCTACATAAACAATTAAAATAATTCTAGAGGAGCTGCGTGTATCTGCAGTACAAAGCACAACAACTCAAGTATAGTACAGCACGCTCTAAGATTTGAGTTGCACCTTCTGATTCTCTAATGCACAAGGGAATTGTTTCATGACCCGTCTGTCTTCAGCCACCTCTCTGCTCTGTGACTGACGGCTACAGTTAGAGACTGGAGCTTTAATCTGGATTCAACATGATGGACAAAGAGGGTGGTCCTGATATTATTTTGATGTACTTGGTGTGATAGGTTTAGAGTGTGTTGTTCATAGGCATTTGATAGATGAAGCAGATCTGCATGTGTGACTGAATCTGAGATATTTTATTACAGCTTTTGAAACATTGAACAGTAATTGTTGTTTTTAGTTTGCCAGTCTCTTTGTGGCTAATTGCATGTGATTAGTTCATATGTACTTCTTTTAAGGCATCAGCTTACTGAGGTAGTCATTTTGGTGTGAGTCTGTGTCACAGCTAGATGAGCATGTGTAGCTGCCCTCCTTTCCTTTCAGGGTTCCAATCAATAATTTACCTGCCCAGATCATATCGGTGACACCTGCTCCCTTTTGTTGTCCCCTTGCTCTCTTACCCGCTCTTTCCATGAAAACTGTAGATGAAAAGAGTTCATTAACCAATGACAGAAAAAGGGAGAAAGAGAAAAAAGCACTATCATTCTATCAAACAGGTGTTATCAGCCTTTGGAACAACAGCAGAAACAGTGGGACTGCAGTGAGGGCAACTTTCACTTCTTAAAGACGTTGATACACACAGGACAAGAAGAGTCTGAGGAACCTTTGAATGGGAATACAAACTCTTTACAGAAGATCGTTCTGTCTCTGACATTCATTTTTTAGGCTTTTACTTTGTTTGAAGTTGATACATCTTTTCAGTTTGGTCACTATGTCAGGAGCCAACAGTGACCAGCTTCACAAATCAACTCTGACTGTTTATTCAGTGAGTGTGTATTGTCTTCTTGTTCTGTACGTTTGTTACTAATTAAAATGGAAGCAAGAATTATACTGTATGTTTAAATATGACTTGGAGATACTTGGTTGAGCGTCAGCCAGTTTTTAGATTCTCAGGTCTTTAGTTACAACTGAAGCCACAACTGTTTCTTTTGGTCTGTTTGTATTCTGTATATTTGTGTGTGTGTGTGTGTGTGTGTGTGTGTTATTGTAGAGCCTGATGGATCATTTCAACCCAGGACTCCAGAAGCTTGTTGCTCTAGGAAACAGTTATGTCAAAGCTTTTCAAGGTGAGTGAGTTTATGAGTCACTGGGTGGGTAGATATGTAGGTGACTGGATACGTGTGCGGTTTTGGTTTTTGGTTCCACATGTGTTAGTGGAAGATGCATGTTCCTTCTGATGTGTGATAAATAGCAACAATATCTAACCCCATGTGGGATGGGCCAAATGTGTGGCATGATGTAGAAATAATAACAATGCATAATGTGTCGAATATGTCATATACAATCAAATACCAATGAGAGAACTGTTGGAACAGGATTTGCTTTTTATACCTATTGCTTCATAGAGGCACAGACGTAAAGAAATGGGGAACTTAAAAAGAAGGTGATATACAGTACACAGTGTGACAAAATCTACAAGGAAGTCATAAAATTATAAAAGCATTCAATACTGGGTAAGGTTGCACCAGCAATGTTTAGTTATTGTTTGTGAACAAGCACAACTTTTTCCTCAAGCTGGAAGTCGGTGGACTTACGGGATGTGATGGCTTTTCTGAGTCATACACTACATTGAGTAGTATTGTGCTCTGTGGTACATAAAATTAAAATATGAAAACTTACTGTAGGTTTTATTTCATTACTGATGACAACATTAAACAGAAATGCTTTAGCTAAAACACAAGGTACCACTGTTGAGAACCTTTCTGTGCATCCCAGTGCTCATTTGACCTAACTAATCCTTACTATGTTTCCCCAGTATTTACCAGCCATGTATCATTAAAGTACCTGTCTGCCTGCCTGATAAAACAAAAACTGCCAGTCACAAGCCAACCACGCAGATTGTAAAACTATCTACTATGAAAATCAGTATGTATTTACTGTGTATTTTTGCATGTGTACTGCAGCCTTAGCTGCTTGCAGTGAGGCCTACTTCAGTGCTGTGGCTAAGATGGGTGACCAGGCTCTTCACACACTTTCGTCTCGCTCTCTGGGTAAGGGCTGATGTATGTCTTTGTGTGTCTGATTACTCAGGTTTCACCTTTAATTTAGTGAATAATTTACAGAAACAGAATTGTCCACTAGAGCTGACCAAGTGCTCTATCAAGCCCAGTCATGCTGATACATCCGCGACTGTGAAATATCACACTGAGTAACCTTAATATTACTTCTTCCCCTGCTCATTCACATCCTCTCTTGTATATGTTCATATGTGTGTTCCCATACTGTATTTGTATTTGTGTGTACGTGCATGCGTGCATATTTTCTAAATGGTTCACTTTTTACTCTGGGCACACATGTGATAGTGCATTTAGCAGTAATTAGCGATATGCTAATGCTCCCCTATTAAAAGAGTGTGTGGGCTCATACGTCAGTGCCAGCAGAGCACGTCATGTGCTTCTGCTGTGTTGGCTAACCGAGAAGGTCAGAGAGCCAAGGCGTGATCAGAGGCCTTATCAGGTGTTAGTGTCTGAATTATAGATTGAGACAGTCATTCAGCTGCACTCAGTTCATTAGCTCAGCCGCAGTCCATGACAATAGACACGACCAGAGGCACCAGTAACATAAAGGGCTTGGCTAACTTTTCACTCTCTTAGCAGCCCAGCTAGTTGGAGCAAAAGACTCTAGATGACTTGAGCAGTGTTGAACTGTGTTAAAGTCATGTGGTATATCAAATTACTCAAATCCTTGCCAAAATGCTGTGCTTTTCATTTAGAGTGTCCATTCATTCACACAGAATCAAAGTGAAAAAAAGATAAGTCAAAATATCACTGAATCTTTTGTATTCCAGAGATTTTGAACAAAAGATTTCACAGTCTTTCTTTTGTGGTGCAACACAATAACATTTTCAGGAAGTATAATCCCATATAAAATATAACAAATAGCTATATAACATGGAACAGTTCAGATCTTCTAAGGCATCAGACACTTTTTTAATGTTTCAAACTGTGGCAGTAGGTTTTTGATCTGTGTGTTGATCTGGCCAATGGTTGGTCCATCTCTGATCAGTGTTTTTGTTTTAAACAGGGGATGTCCTGATCCAGATATCAGAAACTCAGAGGAGGCTCACTGCAGAGATGGACGGAGTGGTCAGTCCTCAATCAAGATTCGTGTTATTAATCCAGAACACAGGATACACGCAATCTCGGAAATACTGAATCTTCTAAATGTTGAATTTTAAATGTCTTGAAAAATGTTAAAACCTTCCAAAAAGAAGTTGTGTAGGTGACTTTGTTTAAATAAACCCAGTCAACTTTTAACAAATAGCAGAACTGCATACAGCACTGTTGTTGACATTGTGCTGTTATTGCACAGTTGTGGATAAAAGTTAAAATGTTAAATAATATTATGGCAATATTTATAATAAGATGATAATATTAGGGTTTAAAAAAACATATTTCCCAAATTGCTTGCCATTTCTCATCCTCGTGCTCAATTGTGGTGGCTTTCAGTGGCCATCTAGCCTGGCCTCTGATTAAAAAGTCGTTCAATATGTATATAGATTTAGTGAAACAAAACAAACAACCTGATAATGAAAACTGCTGTTTGAGCAAGGAAACACTTTCCATAATGACTTGGCTGCATCGCAGGGACATTGTTTTTCTTCCTGCTACAGTTTCGATGGTTCCAGGTTGAAGTACTGCAAGCCATGGAAAAGAATGTCAAGTTGGATGAGGAGTACATTGATGTAAGTTTACAGAGAGGGAAAAGAAAACATTTTGTGTTTATCACATTTTTTGTTTTCAGTAACCATTAGGCAGCTATCATATTATATGTATTTGGTGAAATCTCTGCATTGATATCACATTGCAGACAGCAGCTGGTGGCTAAATTGGATAAGGTGCACACCACATAATGGCAATATCCATGGTTCAGTTCCCGACTAGGGGGACCCTCTCTCTCTATCCTTGTTTCCCATCTCCCTGTAGACTGTCAATTATCATATCAAGGCAAAACACCCCCTTCCCCAAAAATCTCTAGGGGCTACAGATTGTGTGCAACACTGTAGATGTATTTTTTAGTTTACATTTCTTGCAACTTTTATAATGAAAATTCTAAAAACACTTGACTGAAATTGTACAGTATAGGTTTTATAGTATAGCTTTAAAGTTTTTAAAATCATCCTGCTTGTTGTGCTGCAGGGCAGTCGCAGAGTGTATGAGCTGGAGGTGAGGAATCAGGCAGAGGCTTTGGAGAAACAGCTCAGACGAGGAGCCTACAGAGACTCTCTGGTAGTTACACAAACATACAGTATAGGTTCACACACACTGAGATCTAAATTCATCTACAAACATGCACATGCTATTTAGTAGCTATACTTTTGTGCTGTTGTATATGTGTCAGGTCTTTTGTGTGCATGCTTCACAGTGTGTATGTGTGGCTGTTTTTAGGAGAACAGTGAGTACATGCTGTACCTGAGGCAGAGCCAGCAGGAGATCCTGAAGGAGGAGGAGAGGAGGTATCGTTTTTTGGCAGAGAAGCACTGTGGCCTCACTCAGTCACTACTTTTCCTAATAAACAAGGTACATGCATACAGTACTATACACACACAGACTGCCATCACACAACCGCTGGGCAAGCCAGAGCAGCCTGCCTCATCCTGTGACCTGGCTTGCAAAGTGAAATGAGTAGCTTAGTGAACAAATCTGAACCTAACACTGGTTTCTAGATAAGACTGTCTCAATTTAATATGGTTACCAGTGTTGCAAGGTTAACATGCATTAGAGCAAGCTATGGTCAGGTTACTTGATCAAAAGGTGAGCATATGAATGCTCAAAATTGCTAACTTATGAGCAAAACATAAATGTGAAATGCATTATAAATGTCTGCCTTTTGGTGAATATGCATTCTCTGTCTTATACACCATATAAAAGGAGGCTTTGCTCTTTAGGTAATTGGGGAAGCTGTAGAGGTTGTGAAGATAAGATGTGAATATTAATAATTAACTTTACATTCTTACACCTCACTTGCATAACAGTATGATTATGAAACAGGAGTTTTAACGCAGAGACCATTGCCAGGTGAAGGTGTGGTTTAACCAATGCCATATTTGAAGAAGCCAACATCATTGTTTCAGAAACGGTTACATGTTTATTTTCTATGGCAATGACACTCATGCGACGTTCATGTTAAATGCTTAATTATTTGAGGAAACATACATCTCAGTGACCAGTGTCGTGTCTTATTTACTGAAGCTTTTCTGTTAATTCTGTTGCTGCCTGCTCAGGCGTTCACCTCTCATCTGTTTTCAGACCGGAGCATCTCTTCAACAAAAGGCAGATGGATGGAAGGAGAAAGTGAATGAGACAAAAGGGTGCAGACCTCGCACTCCCAGCCATTTGGACCAAGAGGCACAGGTACGAACATCTGACCTGGTTTAATCACCAATAAATAAATAGAGGGAATATTATACTTAAAAAATGCATTTCATACAGTAGACGGCCTCAAAAAAAACACTTGGGTCATTCCACCAGTTTCTGCACCAAATCTCAATGACACGATTTATAGAAAACTGAACACTCTGCTACTGTATGTTCAAAATACTACAAAGTAGGGGCACAGTAAATTGTCAAATAGGAACAAGGGCCATTTTTATTATGTACAGGAGAGAGAGAGCATGCTTCTGAGTAAATATTGTAATAGAGACATGTGCTTACAGCCCCTTGTGTTTTTATAGCGAGAGGCATCCTTGTTTTTGACAGGGTCACAGCTCGTCAGTCAGCTTTATTTGTCCTTTTAATTTCATTTTTGTTTGCTATTGCTACTAATTCTTCCATGTATTTTCGCGGTATAACACTTTCAGTGGAACAAGGTGTTTAAACTGTTAACTAAAGGAAATGCTGAATCACAATTAATTACTTGGTCAACCAGAAGTTTTTTTGTTTACTAACCGAGGTTTTAGAAACATTCAATTGTGTATGAATCTATATTTACGCTGCTATGATCGTAGCACATAGTGTGCAGCTTTTCTGATAAATAATTAGTAAATTATTGGCATTTCTAGTCCATATCCCCTCACTCCTCACTTGACCTGGAAGGATGGAAGATAAGACATGTGCGAGGGTGACAAGGAAACATTTAACAAACCTTAGAGATGATAAGAACCTTATGTGGCTCTGTATAGATCCTTTAAGCTAAGTCCATCACCTGTACCAACTTCTTGAAAGCAAAATCCTACTGTGCTAGTTTCCATTTGAAAATTGAATTTGAGTGGACACCGCAGTTAATTTACCTGTGTATGCTGTTTCTGAGCAGCTGCGAGGTTCAGTGAGCTCCCTGCTGCAGACGGTAGCCAGAGATGAAGACATGTCGTGGGCCAGGAGGGAGCAGCTGGCGCTGGGCAGAGTTCCTTCTAGAGGTGGGGGTGGACTCTATTAATCACTGTTTCTGTGTATTAACATGACAGCACTTTGACAACCACTGAGACAAAGAAGAAAAGCAGTATTGGCCTGTACAGCATTAGGCCAGTTAAACAACCAGTAAATACTGTTCTTAACATTGTCAAATTTCACATAATAATGTTTCCTGCTTTTGCTTCTGCCTGTGGATTCATTCATGCATACCCAAAATGTTTCCTTCTCTTTTTTGCTGCACTTGTGAATTTACTTTCATTTTACTTATGTCCATGTTAATTAAACTATAGAAAACATCTCTCACTTTGTCCTCTCAAACTTGGTCCCTTCCTTTCTCTCCATGCTGTTCATTGCTCTCAACTTTTCTGGCCCTCCAGCACCATCTCCCCTCCCCAGCCGATCTCGTTCCAACTCAGAGGGAGAATCTCTGGGTCTTGGAGCCGGGAGAGCCATGAGAGCCCTGGTGTCTCACCCCTCTTCATCCAACCCAAAGCTTCTGCCTTTCAACAGGGGAGAGACCGTCACCGTGCTGGTCCAGGAGCCACGCAACGGCTGGCTATATGGACGCACTGACAGCAGCCTGCGGTGAGTGGCTAAAATGGAAGATTTATGTTTATGCAGGTGGAGGAACTATAGATTATCAAAAGAGGTTTTACACTGCTGCATTGTGTCAGCAGTCAGACAGAGTCTAACAGTTGTTCAACTGGCAATTAAATCACATTGTCACAATAGATATGAGTAAGACAGCTTATTTCCAGAGATACAAAATAAATTCTAATGAAAATGGCAACAGGACTGTCATTTGTTCAGTACTGCCCACACTCACATGTATAGGCAGTAGGTTGAAGCCCTTGCAAAGCAGAGACCGGGCAGAGTGAAAAGACAGGTTAAATCTCAGCACCTCTTTGTAATAGTGAGTCATTGGTGTTGATCAGTCACTCAACAAACTCTAAGATCTACTATCAAGTACAGTTTTGTGACATAATGCAATTTGACCACTTTTAATATGTGTGGTGAAACCTAAAACGTGTTTGTGTAGTTTTCCAATTAGCAGGAGCAGATTTTGATAGTCAAGAGAAGGAAAACTGTGTTAACTAATTGTGTTACAGTAGGTATAGTCGTTCACAGAGACTCTACACCTGTGTAGTCTGAAAAATTCAGTATGTACTGCATGTGTTGCTGCTGCCTCATCTGTAGCTGTGTTATCTCCTCCAGTCAGGGCTGGTTCCCTGCTGCCTATGTGGCTCCTATTGAAGACATCTCCAACACTTTATCAACAAGGTAAGAACTGCTGTCAGTTTGTTAGAAACAATTCACCTATGTAGTGTAGAAACAGAATGCCTAACAACTTTAGGAGCACTGCTCTGTTGCAGATCCTAGGTTTTGGCTTATAGTACTGGACACCAAGGGATCACACCACAGAATGTCTGTACTAATATCTAAAAGGCATATTTTACAAAAATACAGGCTTATATCCAGCCTAGAAGTGGGAAAGGAGGCAGTTATATTTTTGGTATGAATCACTAGAATTTCCTGTATGTCCCCTTTTCCTTTTGACCCCACAGTGGTGGTTCTATAAGAAGACACAGTGTGAACAGTCTGCTGGAACCTGCTGACACCTACACTGACCAATCAAAGAGTAAAAGCTATGGAGATGCCCCGCCCCCAGCCACATCCAGTCGAAGAGCTTCTGTAGAGGTCCGGCCGATCTCTCCACTCCCTGAAAAGAAACTGGAGCCAGATGTACAGACAAAGCCTGGTCAAATGAAGAGCTGCAGTGAACACCCACCTCCACCTCCTCCACCATCAAGTCAGAATCTTAGAAGGGGTTCCTTAGATTTTCGCCCGATCTCTCCCCTCCCTGGCAACAAGAGGGAGTCAGCATCTGATACCCAGGTACCAGAGGTTCAGAAAAGAATTTATTCTCAAAATGGTTTATTTGTTTCTGTAAGGTATAAAGTAACCCTGAGTCACTAATCTGCCTCTCTTTATCTGGTTGTTCACACTGACAGTCCTCTCTTCTCTTAGGCATTATTGCCCCCTGGGCCGCCTGAAAACCCACTGTTTCCCAGGTAATTTTCAGTGTATATTTGTTGACAGAAAAAAACTTTGTTCCCTGGACTCACTGTCTTTTTTGAATACTATGTTTGCCTGTAATCTGTTGGCTAGTGTTTTATGTGGGAAACCCTTTTGTGAAATTCTCCAAATTCAACAAAATGACTTGATTCCATGCAAATGTTCATGAATCGTATTGTATCAGAAAGTGGAGAGGTGTGGGTAGGAGCTGTCTGGCTTTCAATGGACACTTTAAGTATTTATTTATCTGCAAGAATACAATTTTTTTGTTATGGAAATGATCAAATATATAGATTTTAAATACAGCATTAAAGCATAGGACCTCTGACAGATGCTGACTGGCCAGAGTCAGACGTTACCATCCCTTGGCTGGGGTTTGGTAGTAGTTTCACAACCTGGACTGTGTGTATGTGGTTTGTTTGTGTTGGCAGAAACCATCTGAGCATGTGCGGTATTGTGTAACATTTTCCATCATCTCATTTCAGAGGCACAAACCCATTTGCTACTGTAAAGCTTCGCCCCACGACCACCAACGACAGATCTGCTCCTCAGATCCACTGATCCATCATGCAGGCAGTGTGCAACCAGATCAGGTTGTGGAGACAGGATAAACAAGCAATGGGGGCAGAGAAAGGTTAGGCAAGGTTTTTTTGCCCAGTGTTAGATAATATGAGTTGTTCCAAAGCAAAAGTCATACCATAATAGATCTAAATAGTTAAATATCAAAACCATAAACATTTGAAATAGTTGCTTCATCACCTCTTTGTTTTTATGACGAGAGCAGTATTTATTTTGTCGTCTAAATCTATGCAAGCTAAACAAATAACCACTTTTCCTAAAATGTTGAACTATTCCTTTAAGCTGATAATAACATGTTTATTTAATGTTTTTTTTTTTTGCTTAAGCTGTCACATGCAAACAGTTCTCATAAAAATGTGTCCCAGAACAGAATCTTTTGTTCATGAGAGCCAGATCTGATTTGGCAGATCTTAACATTTAAAATATAATCCTTTCAAATTTAACTTGGGCCACTTTTATATATTATCCTAAATGTTGTACAGTGCATATATATGACATCTATGACAGTGATAGTTTTCCTTCAAGGGCACACTTAGTCCACAACTTCTGGCCTAGTCATTGTAAATTTGTAATCCCCTTCACTGTTCTGTGATTGATATGTTTTGCATTGTTTAGTGCATTATATTTTTAGTTTAATGTTTTGTGTTTCCTGTGGGTAAGAATAAGTAAAGAGGCAGTTATTACTCAAGCTATTTTTATTGTCATTTCTCTCTTCAGAGCTCTCCTTATATATCATTATGTTTACTACATCATCTGATCGGAGGCAGGGAGTGAGGAGGAGGAGGGCGGAGAGGAGGTGAGGTGAGGAAAGGTGGAGGAGAGGAGTGGGAAGAAAGTGCAATGATATGCGAACATCTAGAAGTAAAACCAATCAGACAAAATGCACAACCCGAAATACACAGAGGAAGGAAATGAAGGTTTAAGAAGTCTTCATAACGTCTACACCATCTACAGCACTAGTAGCACCTGTTTTCAGACCACGAACTACCCTCATGTAATCATTAAAACGATTACAAAACCCATTTAGCATGACTGAATAAATATATATAGAAAACAAAAGGTTGAAACTGATGAAACTGGTGCTTGTTTAGCCTGTGTGTTCCCCCTCTTGGTAAGTCCCTGTCATCCTGGTCCTGGTAGTGTTTTGTAGAGCACAGGCCTGGTCTGACTCCATGCGTGGGGTCTCGAGGGAGGTGAGAGGACTTTGAAGGCGGCAGTTACAAAAAAATGAATGCAGGGACGAAGAAGAGGAGGAAGAAAAATGCGGGCATTCAGCTATCCCCTACTCGTGCACCAAGGCCTCAAACTCTGAAAAATACAAAAATATGCTCAGTTGATAAGACAACTCTACTGACTCCTAGTTTAAAGGATAAAGCTGGTTCTGGTTTATTTTCCCATGGTGTCAACAAATCCAGTGAAAAGACAAACAATGAACTAATTGTACTGACAAGTACTGTGTATAATCATAGCTTAAAGCTACAGTATGTAAATGTTTTCAGATATTTGTGTTGTAGAAATCTGCTCCAAACCGTTTCCTAAGGTGGATAGGTGCTGTCGAAGACTGCTGTGACTCATTGAACAGCACTGGCAGCAGTGTAGCGATATTAGCTTCTAAAAGGATTGAAGTGAGACTGACTTCTCTAACCAATCGGAGATTTTAAATTATTTCTTCTTGGTCAGTACTCTTTGTTGCATTTTCATGTCTTGTAATTTCATAATGACAAATATCTGAAGAGCGTGATGGGACGTAGCAGATGGTAGCGGAGCATAGTGGAGCAGGGAGAGGGAGCGCTGGGCGGAGCAGAGTGGGTTGGAGTTTCATGTTAGTGCTACCTAAGGTTACACACTGTAGCTTTAATATATCTTATTCCTTGTGGGCCGCCTACAGTAACCCGCTCTGGCCTCCATGCTAACCTGTACACTCCCCTTTTACCCCACCTTTTCTCTTTTCCTCTTCTCCATTATTTTTTAAAATAAACTTTCTTATATAATTGAATGTTTCTCCTTTCTCTCACCGTCAATGCCAATCTTGCCGTCTCCATCTTTGTCTGCGGCTTTGAGGAATGCTTTCGTTTCAGTGTCAGTCAGATCTCTACCGTCCTTGGAAAAGCCCTTCAGTACAAACCTGAGAAAAGTACAGAAAAGGATCACTGTAGCCCGGCGTTAATGAGCACACAACAGTGGGACAGACAGACTTGATGTCTAGCTTTCTTTTTGTATGCTTGTATGTTTCAGTGTCTGTGTGAGTTCCTCACTTGAGCTCCTCTTCCTCAATGAATCCGCTACCATCCACGTCCAGGACCTGGAAGACCTTCTTGACGTTTTCAGCTGACATGGCCTTCATTCCCACCATTTCAAAGAACCTTTTAGGGTCAAACGTTTCTGCTACAAAAGGCAAGGCAAAAGGTACAGACTGAATCATCAAATAGCTCTAACTTCTACCTTTACGTTAGCTGGTTTAATACTTGTACAGTCAACCTAGGAGGACAAAATGAATTCTATCAAGGGAAGAGTTGTGGATTTGCATTACATTACAGAGCCTTTATGTGTTAAGTGTCAGTGCTTATGTGGATTGCAAAGATAAGAATGTAGAAACACTGTGTGTGTCAGTACACAAAGCTAACTTCTGTAACTTTCCAGGTCTGTTTTGCAAAGAACATGTCATGTCAATTCCACAATGGTTACAGACCTGCAAAGGCATCAAGAGCTTTCTTGATCTCCTCAGCTTTCAGTAGATCTGTCATTGGCATTTTGTCAGCTGTAGCAGAGAGAGAGAGGGTGTTAAAGGTGCACACTAAGAAATAAAAGAGCAGAGTGCAGACAGGAACAGGTGGGAACACAGTAGTGGAGGATTTGGCACAAATGTTAAAAGTCAAATATAACTTATCATCTGTACGCGTGTCTGAGAATGTGTTTCTGGACCAGATGATAAGAAATTCAGGTAGTTTGGCATACATTGAGAGGCCACACATACAGGTACCTCAGCTGTACACACACACCTGCTGTGTTTTCATTCCTTGTGGGGATTTAACACTGACTTACATTCATTAACTGTAGACTTATCCTAACCTTAACCATAACCACTACTTGCCTAGCCCTAACCTCACCCTAACCTTAAGCCATGTTGCCACCTTAAAATTCAGCCTCTGGTCCCCACAAAGCTGGGTGTTGCTAAAAAGATTGTAACTGATCTTCTAAGTTATGTTTCCTCAAGGGTTAAAAAAGTCACTGTAGCACACCCTGTAGCTGCAGTACACTGCAGCGGCCTGTAGGTGTCAGTAGGTGTTAGAACTGAGTTGAAGCCTCTCCGCGGCCCCTTGTGTGTAGCACTGAGAACAAGTGTTGAGTTGTCAAGACAGATGTTTGATTCATGAGTTTGTGCCTATAAGAAAAGTGAGTGTGTGTGCATGTTTGTGTTTCACGTAGTGCCCTTGGTGAGACTTGCAGATCCCCGGTGAAGCAGTTTCGATAGTCCCTCTGCGGGTTGCACTGTCTTCACCTCAACAAAATAGTTTTCTTCTCGAACTAAAGGGCGCAATTACTTATACAAAAAGAGATTCATCCTCGTCTTTTCTGTACAATCTAAAACTCCTCAACTTTCTCTCCACCTGTTATGCAACTGGCTTTTGGCAGCAAAAGCCAATTAGTGAGCATCTATTTTTGGTTTTGAGATGTGTAAAACTTTTCCATCTATGAGATAATGTTCTACAAACAGAAAGCTTTATCTAAGCTTATTTGGTTTATTGAAGCCAGAAAGGCTGTTTGGATACTTCTGTTCATCATCAGTGGTCCTGGTGTGGTCAGTTGCTCTGGATCTTTATGTCCTGTCACTGTCCTTAACATAGTAATAAACTCTCACATAATGCATCTCAGTCACCCTTGTCATCCAGGTGTTTGACAGCATTCCTTCAGCCTAATGCAAAGTTCACAAGATCTTTCACAACATCTTTAACTTTCCGGTTTAGAGCTAGAGAAACTGCCCTGTAATCAAATGGACAAACCTTCTATCATCAGTTGCAGAAACCAAGTCCAAAGTGTCCTTGACCATGTACTTTTTTACTAAAGCGCAAAAAGCAAAAAAAACTGAATTGAAAAAAACATTTCACATATGCCTTACTGCACCATGGTGCTGTGGCCCTGTGCATCAACAGCTGTTCATGGTGACACATGGGCTGTGAAAACACCCATTAGACCAACACCTGCTCCTAACATTACATTTTTATCAGATACAGGCTACAACAAAAAGGAAACAATACATTGCAGCACGAGCTGAGTGTGAGAAATACAAGAATATCAATCCAAATGAACTTACAGAGACAATAATAATCCTCTGTTGCTTGGATTGTCTTGGCTGGTGCAAATTTTAATTTTTACATTTCTTTTACATTATCTTTGTGGCAATTAAAAAAAAACAATCTAAATCAAATACATGAAAATTGCGGCACTCCAATATTATTTTATGCTGTGACCATATGTGTTTACCTTCTTTTAGTAATATACAGTTCAATATATCTCATTATTTTTACACAGTTTTATTCAAGTCATTTTTATAATCCTGGCTAAACTTGCATCCACGATGCCTCTGATTGATTTCATTTAGTTAGTTTCTAGCAGAGAATTACAAACCTGCTGTACACTCAGCAACTACACAATACTTTATTATCATGTGTTGTTCTGAATTAATTATTTATTCAACTAACTGAAGTATTTCAGTGTATCTGCTTGTGACAGATAATCTCAGTAACCTTTCATTTTCATAGTGGCTTAGAACTTGGAAGGCCTCTGATTTCTACTGTGTTTGTTCAAATTACCATCCTCTAACACAACATTTAGTTGTTGTTTTTCCTTACCTGGATGAAGGGGTGGATGAGTGCACCTGAGAGGAGGGAAGGAGGCCGACAGGTAAAGTGATGAAGAAAGGCCGGCGTAAAGAGAAGTGATAAAGGTTGAAAATGGAGATAAGATGAGCAGGTTTGAAGGGAGGACACAAGAAGACTTTTATAGCCACCTCCAAATACATATACACTTAACCCATATATCCCCATGTACCCGCCACACCCCCGCCTCTCAGTTTTCTCTCTATTTTGAGAAAGGTAGGGGGCTGTTGAGACATGACGCACACTGTTGGCCCTGGAACGTTGTTGTTTTCACTGTAGCACTAACAAATCACACACTAGCTTATAAATATAAATCCACTTTCTCTGGCTTCCCTCAG